AAACAATGTCCGATCCTGGGCCAACCTCACTACCACTGCCACACTTGACGCCATCAATGATGCCACCTGGCTGATCCATCTCGTTGGGAGTCTTCCTCTTTTTCTCTGCTCCACCTTACCCAGCATGACATCCTTCTCCAACGATTGTTTCCTCCGGACAATAGGTCCAAAGTATGAGAGACGCAGCTTAACTAGGTTGGGGATTTATCTCAGTCCAGATAGAGACATGTGATAAACCACGAAGGGCTTGTCTGTCTTCGAACACTGCCTCTTCCTGTTAAAACTAGCCGAGCAAGCATTGGGGTTCATCTCTCACACTACTTTTGTCAGACAATATCTAGAATCCATAGATGGGATGACAGATCTTAATCCAATTAGATCTTTCCCATTTAGGAGGAATGTCATTTTATAAACTCTCCTGTCTGTGCAGCCAGAAGGGAAGTGGGCTTCTCACTTTTATAAAGATGACGCCGTTTCTTTTCCTAATGTTAACTCTGGTTAGAGCATGTGGGGAAACTCAGGGTCATAAAACAGCTCTTTCAAACCCTCTTCCGGGATCAAGACAAAAAACTAGGCTTGGTTTGGAAGCGAGAGATCACGGGGTGTGGTTCAATGCACTTAAATTATAAATCTTTACACGTGTTGAGCACCCCATCCCTCGGTCCCTCCGCGAGGCCCCCTCCACACCACGAGTCGCCCAGCTCCTGCCCCTCAAAGGGGGGCACGAGGGAACATTCAGAATCCACCCCTCAGACATGACCCTTGAAAGCCCGGATGAAGACCCCAGCTGCCAGGACTGCCCCACCCACTGGAAGCCGCTATGCGTCACTTGTTCGTCAGCAACTCAGGGATCCTTGCGCGCCCACATCCCAATCCCTGACTGGGCCCTTTGCCGTGACTGACAAACGAGGCTCCGCCCACAATGCCGTCTCTTTAGTCCCACTCTGACTGCCGATTGGCCAGACCGCTCTGGTAGCGCTCTGATTGGCGGCTTGCACCTGACAGAGCTTTAAAAGCGGATGCTAATCTCTGCGATCTCGACCTTACTGAGAGCAGGAGGGTCCAGGTGCTGAGAGAAGACGCGGGAGAGCCGAGGCGACTGACAGGACTCGAGGTGCTTCTACCATTACTCAAAACCCCTCTAAACCCTCATGAACCATCAGCACGAGACTCCAGATCTCACTCCCAGCAGCCTCAAATCCCGCCAAATTCCTGGTCCCCCACATGCCCTCAGCAGGAGAAACCCCAAATCTCCTTACCCCGAGGAGGCCCAGACCCCTTCATCCTTCCAGAACCCAAACCAAACTGACTGCCGTGCAGTCGTGGGGAGGGGAGGGTTTCCCAGAACTGCCGACTTGTGGTTAGTAGTCCAGTGCTTACCCCACAGCGCCACACAAGGGCTCCTCCTTAGCCCCTCAAATACCCTGCCCCTGAAGGAGCTCAATTCCCCTCAATCTGGGAACCCTGAAATCTCCCACCATAGAGACTCCTAATCGCCTCAGTCTCAGAGACCTCCAATAATTCCAGACGGAAATCCTTTGTCTGCGGCCCCGGATTCCCTCAGCCTGAGAGGCCCTGAATCTCCTGAGTCTGAGGCGCCCTCCGGTCC